ATCAGCTCACGCTTAGTCAGACTGAGGTATGTGAAACTGCAGCCAAGACATACAGATGAAGATGTACCAAAATGTTCACCTGGGCTGGCCTTCCCCACACCCTCAATGCAGCACAAAGTATGCAGCTAATATCCAGCCTTAGGTTCCAGTCCTACAATGAACTCTGTTGCTAAAAAACCCCTGTTCTATGTGGGGTCTGTTCTAACCCCTATTCTATCTGGGAGCAAGGGGATTTTCACACAGATCCTGGTGCTGGGATGGTGTCTGCTTCTCTACTGACAGAACAGCTGTCATTGTTTCCTGGAGTTTCTAAGGGTATGATCTGAGTTGCTGGAGGAATGAGAAGAATACTTACTTACACCTCTGAAAATTGATCTTGCCAGCCCAATTCATGATCATTTGATGGTTGAACAAGGCAGGAACATAATCCACAAGGCACAAAAAACCTGATCTGAATTGCTTTGCTTTTTACATCTTCTGAAAACAGTGTAAGAACTTTTAATTGGGCAGGATTTTAGCAGGAGGGATTACATTTTGGGGCACTGTTTAGGAAGTTTGTTGTTTTACATATACTATTCCATTTTAATATTTTATCTAATTCTATAATTTAGCTTGTGTTTTATTGTAAGCCACCTTGAGCCTTTTCTGAGGAGGGCAGCATATTAATCTATTCAGTCAATACATAAAACAGATGTTATGATCTGCGGGAGAGGACTGAGTAAACTTCAGTAAGCCATAACTAGATATAGATCTATGCTGGTGTCTGCAACACAGACAAGGCAAGAACATCACAGAGATGTCCTAAATGGAGACCTAGGGCACGGACAGAAGTGACAGTATTTGCCTGATCTGGCCACAGAAAGTGGCCTATAGCCATAACCAAACACAAATGCATGGTGGCAGACAGCTTCAAAAATGGCTGATGGGGCAAAAATTGCATGACGGTTCAAATGAAGAAGTTTCAGAACAGTGTCTTCTGTAACTTGTGTTTGTGCTGTCTCCCAGCCTGTCACTGATTTCAGAATGGGAAGGAGGAAAGGGAGCAGAGGAAGTTCAGTCAGGGGTTTTTTCAGTCCCCACTGGAGGATGGGACGGGTGTATTGGAGTTCCTCCACCAAGGTGGGAGAACTCCAATACACCTACTTCAACCTCCAGCACTGGGTGGGGAACTCCTAGAACAAGCACCCTCTATTCCCTTTCCCCGCTTCCCTTCTGAAAACAGGGACAGGCTGGGAAGAAAGAGGGGCTGTTGATGGGAAATCAGCTGCAGACTGCACCCACCAGCTAGATTCCCCTCCCACCTGGAACCAGCAGTGAACTTCTGTTTGGTCTGGGGGATCGTTGTAACTCAATGCTTCTTGCAAAGCTTTCTCAGTTGCAGCAGGGAGCTGCACTTCTGTCTGCACCCTTAATCTTCTTTTGTTATAAAAGGTACTTTGTTTTGACTTTCAGTCAGGGTTGTCACATTTGAAAAAAAACAACAACCCAGAAATATTGTAGTGGACCCTCAAAATTAAACTTCTTTAATGAAAGTGATTGTTCATCAAAAAAAATGACGAGCATGGGAACCTACTAGTTGTATGTTTAATATACAGTATGATCATATCACTGTAAATTAAAAACACTGTGTTCATTTCATGCACAGTCACCTCTTAGAATTTGTAATGCCTCAGTCAGATTCCACTTTGACATCCCTGTATTCTGCTGCTGCATACTGGGCGTTAGAAGCACAGGCCCATGTGTGACCTGTCTCTGAGCAAACCCATATGCATGAAGGACAACACACTTAATGTCAACTGGAGATGGAAAAATTTATCATGTTTGACTATTGTTCTACAAATGCAAGCACTCTAACTCTTGTTTTGAGCATGTTTTAGCCACTTTTATAGTTCCCAATCGTGCTTTGTACAAGGGTTGAATATACTGTAAAACTGTACATCTGGCAACACTGCTTTAGCATCTCTCTGTAAAGGGCACTTCTGCTAAGCAGCCTATAAACCCAAGTCTTCTCTTTACAGGGGTGTAAGTTGTAGCTGCGTTGGTCTAAGGACATAGGCAGACAAGGTTCTTTGAGTAAATCTGATCTCTTAGTAGACCAACTCAAATAGTTGGAAAAATTCTTCTTTGCAAGCTTTCAGCTATAAATGCCCTTCATCAGGCTGAGGAAGCATCTGCAGTTAGTATTTGTTCTTCACACACCAACTGCAGATGCTTCCTCAGCCTGATGAAGCATATTTACACCTGAAAGCTTCCAAAAAAGATTTTTTCCAACTATTTGAGTTGGTCTAATAAAAGATATCAGTCTTCTCTTTAGCAACTCACACACAGGCAAATCCTTCAGAATAACTAAAGGGACCTTAAATGTTTACTGCTGTCAATGTGTTCCTCTTTCTTCCCCCAATGTTTGTTACTATCATGCCTCATGTTGTATGTTAATATAGGTCTCCATCCCAAAAAGCAGGTGAACACCTGCTTAAATTTAAAGTTAAGCATGTGTTCGTATGAGAAGGCTGTGTGCTCTGCTATACATAGCTCTGGTTCTGAATTTCTCTGGCATATATCATGCATATCAGCAGTTCAGAATAAACAGTGCATCATAATAATGCCAATTACTTATCAAGAAAGGTGGCTTATGACTGGCTTTGGACCTTTAATGCACTTTTTATGGCAAGTAATTAAAGCTGACTGTGCTTATCAGTGTTGGGAGAGGTGTGCCCACAGGAGCAGATGGCAATTTCCATGCGGTGCAGTACAGGAAGAGCAGGGTGTGAGGGAACACCTCAGAAAATGCAGAGCAACACCCATGATAGATAATGAGGTGATAATTTGAAGATAAATACAGTCATAATAACCCTGTAGTTGACACCAAAGAAAACAGTCTGCTGGACAGGATACCTAGTTGAGAGTGTAAGCAACTTGGGGCAGGGACTTTGTCTTCCTGTATGGTTGCAAAATGCCTGGCATATTTTAGGTACAACTGTAATATAAATAATAATACGTTTCTCCATCACCCTTCACTAGTAGGCAGCAGGGAAACATGGTTGGTTTTGATAAGTGTTTTACTTGCTGCAGATTTTTATCATGGGGTTGATCGCTTCCTATGCTTTGTTGTTTGCTGTATTCTCCCTTTCTATCATTACAAATGGGAAAGCTATTTCTGTCAAGACAAGCTCTCTCTTTCCTGCCTGAATCATTCAGTGATGCTAAAGGGTTGGGTGGTAATGTCACGGCTTATCCACAGAATTGTCTGTGGAGAAACTGGTATCAGCAAGGTCAGGGAGTGCCATCACTTAACTTATCAGGCAGGAAGAAGAGGCTGGTTGGAAAAGAAATTCTCTTTACACAGCCCTATCTTGGCTATTCAGCAACCATAGAAAAGTAAATACAGAAAAAAACATGCAAAAATACATGAGTTACCAAACTGCATTAGATGTGTATGTATAGTAGTATTATACTTCTACCTAAGGCTACTAATCAGTGATCCAGATGAAGGGAAATAAGTACAGGCAGTACTCATCTTACAACATTTTAGTTACAATGTTTTGCACTTACAACATTTATAAATTGACACCCTGTTTCAACTTTATGATGTCAGTTTCAACTTACAACACTTGATCTGATGCGACGCCACGCCAGCGAACATGTTCGCTGTGTCGCCCATCTCCCTGGAGAACATCTGTCCAAACTTCCTTGGACACTTTCTTTATGAAAGCAGACAAGACTCCTGAGAAGACTCTAGCCAAGAACCCTTCAAAAAGACCAACCAAGAACCTTTCAAAAAGTCCAGCAAAGTCACCTCAAAGAAGCCCTTCCAAATCAATATGATTGCTATTTACAGTATATTAATGCAGCTACATTACTCATCTATAATCGATTGAGTACAAAATTCTGGGATATTTTTTATGAAAACAGGGTATCAGGCCTTGGTTCAGGAACAAATCTCCCATTTATAACATTGTTTCTTATGAGAAAATTGGTTGCGAGTTACAATGTTTCAACTTGAGATGCAGTTTTCAGGAACTAATTGTGTCATAAGTCCGAGGACTGTCTGTAATACTAGTGGGCAAGTTCAGTCTTTATCTGACTCCCTGTTCAGTGGGGAGCATATCTGGTATATACCAGTAATTTGGGTGAATTCAGCTTTCACTGTTATCGGACAGGAGAGTTACTTTCTAAACTTCACAGGCTTATCCTGTGGGGTTTAACAATTAATTACCCTTGTGAGTGAATCAATTTTCATAGCAGCAATATAGATGATTATATTGGATCCAAAATTATCCTCTTCATTCAAAAATCCAGCCGCTATATTTGTGTGGTAGTGCTATTACACAGGAAAATATTACCGACTCTTTCCCCATTCTTACAAAGAAGATTCCAAAGGTCACTGCAAATTGTAGAGGTTTTGCTGTCTAAGTTATGGATCCAGTTATCTCCATGTTCTTTTCAGTTGCACAAATACACCTTTCTGGATTTGTAGCAAATAGACCCTTGATGTGTGTGAGAGAGTATCAGTTATTGCTATCAGGCTGGAATTCAACTTCTTTACCTTCTCTCTAGAAATGCTCTAGTCAGCTTCTCACCTTCCCTCTAACTTCCACTCAGGTAATTGCTGGAGATTCCTTCTTTTGTTACTCCTCAGGGCCCCAATTTTCAAAGCTGGGTGCCTAAAAGTAGGCTATCTGGGCCTGAAGTTTCTGAAGTACTGAGCATCCATCACTCCATTTGTAATCCAAGGCAACTATAGGTGACCAACTCATTTAAGTACCCGAATACAGAACTAGTGACCTATTTATAAGCACCCAGAGACAAAATTGTTGTTCAGGCTGTCCATTCACAGCCTAATTTTCTTGTATGTATCCTTCTCAGCATTCTGGCACCTGCTTAGGTTTTTCAGCACTTCCCTTGCTCTTTACACTCCTTTAGATTTGTTTGCAATTAATGGTGAACCTAATGGAAAGCCAGGAGCATAGAAAGAAAGCAACTGATGGTGAGTCTCTTACCTCTGTTTTGTTGGTCTGCAGGCCCAGCAATGGTAGAGTGGAGGCACGGGTTGTGTTTACATTCCAGTTCTGCTCGACAGATAACAAAGCAGCACTACGAGAAAAAATTGCCAGTATCTTACAGAGAAACCTGAAAACAACCCCTGGATCTATGCATATAAATCTTACTTCTCCCATCTCAGGCAAGTGTCATTTCAGTTTTGATTTTTTTTTCATACTTTGCCAGTCTCTGTACTATTATTATTTTTCATTGTAAATGGGGTGTGTTATTTCCACCTTTTATCTGTTTTCAATGTAACTGAGAGAGAACGTTATCCCCATAGATGGGGTTAGCATAAATCTGTGTGCCACTTAAGCTTTGTAAATAAAGCTTAAGTGGGGCTTCATTATTTTGTACACAAGGGTGGATTTCACCCTTGCTGTACACTTCTGATAATCCCATCAGATGAGGCAGTGGACCGCCTCAGTGGGACTTCTAAATTGCAATAGGCAGCAGCAACTTCAGACTTATTAGCTTTCAGAGCTCTTGTCTCCTGGGTGCAGACAGAAGTGACAGTTCTCACCTGATCTGGCCACAGAAAGCAGCTTATAACTGTGACTAAACACAAATGCACAGCTACAAACAGCTCAAAAATGACTGATTGGGTGACCCCTCGTTGCATAAGGTATCAGATAAAGATGTTATAAAATGTAGCATCTTTGCAACTTGTGTTTGTGAGCCTTGCAAACTTATGAAATGGAAAGAGTAGGAACTGAACCTGGGTGAATGTTTTTGGTGAACCGCAAATTTGCTGAAAAATGCAGTTTTGTGGTGGAGATGGGAACACCATAACCATTTGTGCCTTCAGGTCAAATCTGTCCAATAGTTTTGTATGAATAAACATTATTAAGTGACACAATATTTTGTTTCTAACATGTTAAAAAAGTTTAGGCTTTTTATTTCAGTGTGTTTTCATTTAGATATTGATCGGCTCCAGCTCAGGGCTTGGTTAGGAATGGGACAAGCTATGAGATGTAGATAACGATAGACCTCGCTATATCCTGGTGGTTTTAACTCCAGGGTCCTCAATCTGCCATGAACAGAAATAAATCATGGTTTTAAGTAGTACCTAGGCTGAAAGTGTCTACTGCTCTATTCATTACATGATGAGAACTGCATCACTGCTGGCAGTTAAACATCATGTATCCCCTAAAGGCTCTCCCTTTCACTTAACTTCAATGAGGTTTCACTGATTTATACTCCCTTAGATCTGGTCCTCTATTTTGGGGGCAGATGCTCATTATGAAGCATGTTCCCATCTGTTTTGAATGTAGCAACATCATAATTTTGACAAAGGAATAACAAGCAGGGTTTGCATCCTGGGCAAACTCTGTGGGAAAGTGGGGGTGTGGTGGTGGGGAGGTGCCACTGAGTGCCAGAGAGGCAGGGGTTCCAAGAGCCAGCAGGGAGTGCAGGAGTCTTACCTAGGCTGGGGACTCAAAAATAGTCCTCAGTTGCTGCTGCTGCTGCCACTGGAGCTGCAGCATACATAGTCTGCCCATCCTGGCTGTCACTCCTACAATAGTAGCACAGTGTCCATGCACCTGGTTGCTGCTGCAAGAGCAACACTGTGGGGCTGCTTTTGCTGCTGGGGCACAGACACCATGGGCATGAAGAGCAATTCCGGTACCTGCTCCTAAGTTGGTGCCCTGCTTGCCCATCCCTATTTTTTCTGCTGAATTTTGATGCAATTAATGTTACAGATTGGTCCCTTAAAGATAGTTTCTTGCCTCTTCTCACTTGCTCTGTGTTGCTGCCCAATTAGGGAATTATAAAGCAGACCTAAAGGATTTAAGTTTGTGAGTGCAATCCTATTCCATCTTGCTCAACTCCCTGAAAAGCTTAATGTCCCTGGATTCTCCTTGATCCTCATGCTTTTCACAACTTACACCTTAAGGAGAAGATGAAGTGTCCCCTTCATCTAGGTGCTCTAATGATTTTTCAGAGACTCGAGCAAGGTGGAACAGCATCATACTTAGTGCCACTTAGATCCTCGTTGGAAGAATACAATCTGGCCTTTGGGCTTTTGATGTGAATTAGGTTGCACTTTATTTACTCTGTTTGGAGGAAGAATGGGGTCAGGGGTTAAACTGCCTCAGGATGAATTACTGGACAAAATAAGAGGTTAATACATATGTTGTTTAGCATTGTTGGCATGCCCACCCACAGTTCTCCTTGAGATGATACAATCCCTATTGATGAGTTGTCTTACTCTGTTTTTCCTTACCAGTGTCTTTTAGACTGTGGCAGGTAAGTGAAGGACAGGTGCCTATGCTGGAATAATGCTAATAATGGCACTGAGTCAGATCTCATGTGTGTTGGATTCAGGGTATTACTCCCAGTCAAACGACCATAGTTTGTCTCTTCTTCCTTCTCCTGGCTCTCACAATGGATGGACTGTCTAGCAGCAGTTGCATAAGTCATGAATATGAGCTGACACCTGTCAAGTACTTCCTCAGAAACAAGCCAGTTTTCATAGTTGAAATCACACCACTTGTTTGGAATCTTGACCGGATACGCCTCCACAATGGAGCAAGAATGTCATGTCTTTGTATTGTTCTTATTCCAGTCACGCCATTGCAGAAGTCACGGGTGAACAAATAACAAGAGGTCTCTGACTTAGAGAGCTCACAGGACTATTTCAACCATATGTAGCAGGTGAACAATATGACAAACTGTGGTAGCAAGGATGAAAAAGGGCCAAGTAATTGAGGAGAAATTTGTGTTTCCATTAGGTGGGAGTCACAGCAGTTTCAGTCGTCTCAAGCAGCTGCCAGTTTGTTGAGTGGCACACTGAAATTATTTCTAGGACAAATAGAAACAGACTGGTTCTAAGGAGGGATTTCCAAGGGCAAGAGATGGATTTGTGAATCTGGATAGATTTCAATCCCCTCCAAACTATAGGAGGGGACTATAACATTTTGTTACAGTTGTCTGCTCAACTGCTTAAATTCAGAATCTGGTAAGTGATGGGAGTTAAATAAAGTCATTTGATCTAACTGACACACACATTGTGCCTAAGGAGCCAAGTTTTAAAATAGTTTCTAGTTGGTAACTAACTAATTATATGGAATTAGATTGTGCTTTAAATATTCAGTTTCAATAAAAGACACCTTTTTGAAAGATACATTCTAAAGTTATCCAATTACTCCAAAAGCCGAAAATGAAATACTATGGGTCAACTTTGTTACTTTTCTTAACTATTCTAGTCTGAATTTAAAGTGGTGCCCATAGGATAGTTCTACTATTCAGGGCAGGAATATTCTTGTGCAATTTTCCTGCAGGACAGAAAGTCAGCATATAAAATACTCTGTTGTTTCTAGAAGAGAAGCATAAGAGATCCTTCTTGGTCAAGTAATGTGTGTTAAGCAGGTCTAACAATCCCAGAAAACAGTCAAATTTACAGTGTTTCTTTAGAAATACAGATAGGCATAGGTGAGCATTTGTAATACTGGCAGAGATACGCCCCACTTGTTGGTTTCTTCCCAATCCTGCCTTGCCTCCTGTCACTTGCTTGCCATGCCTTTGATGTTACTGTTGATAGGAGGGGTCCTTGAGGGGCGGTAGTCACCTCATGTGGTAAGATGTTCTGTCCACCTTGATTGACCAAACCTGGGGCCTTTTGCCTTCTCACAATACTTCCCTTTTAAGAGGACATGCCCTGTAGGTTACTGGGGCACTTTTCAGGGACTCGGCTGTCACACCTTCAACCCCATTTTCCTCTCTGGACACACCTTTTGCCTGAACCTGATATTCAAGACCTCAGCCTTTAGGGTTTAGTAATCCCTTTCTTGGGGTCCACTTGTACCTCTGTATTCTCTGCCGTCCTGTCTCAGGGCTTGACCTCTCGTACTTATTTTAGAGGAGCATCCTCAAGCGCCCTTGTCTGTGGTCTGCTCATCACCTCTTATAGCTACTCCCAGTCTACCAGTTAACCTAACCAAAACATAAATACAAAATAAATAACAATTTTTTCACAATCTCGGGTTAATACTTCCCTGCAGCCTAAGAGTTCTCCTTGGCTTCTTATTCACAGCTCTCTGGCACTGCCTGGGCACTGGTCAGCCCTCCTCTGGCAACCACCTTAGGCAAGAACTCCATACCCTGCAGCCTGCTGGGCCAGATTGTCCCCCTTCCAGCTCAGGGACTGGGTTTATATTCCTCAACCCAGCCCCCTGTCTCTCTTTCCCCAATGCCAGATGCAGCTAATTGCCTCATTAGGTGCCTGATCCCTGGCCCTTTACCCACTTAAACCCTCCTAATAACAAGGGCAAGAGTTTCTTGTTATGTTACAACGTTATACAGCTGAATGCCCTATTATGTCCTTGAAGGAGAGGGTGATTTGGAATCTAGATCCTGCTCTAGACCTCAGTTTGAAGTTTCATCCTCTCCCCTGCAACAGGAAGAAGCCAAAACTTACAGCTGAACTTTGGACGATCATGGATATTCAGAAAAGTATCTTGGTTTTTCCTGCCAGGCCTATCTCTGCATTTATTCTATATCATTCAAACTCTAGTGGTTTTTATCACTTGAGGTCATAAGGCCTTGAAACTGCAAGTGATAAAACCATTGCTAGCCACTTTCTTAACTACTTCTGAAAACTGTCACTATGCATGTGTTACCAAAAACTATAGTTTTGAGACAGGATATAAATCAATAGAACTATGTGATTGAACACCTACTAAAAATCCAGGGTAGGTCCTCATTTGCATGGCAGGCTAGGAGGATCCGATAAGGAGAATGAGTAAACCTTCAACCCTGCATCTATTCAGCACCATGTCTCAACTTGTACTCAGTGCAAAACTGCTTGCTCTTGGGAGCAGCTGGAATAAGCTGTCTGTCAGTCTGGTGCATCATCTATGGTCTTGCAGACATGGTCACAGGTAGCTTTGAGAGCTAGCAGTAAAATTTACCACCTGTTCCACAGTGTGGATGGTAAGCACACTGGAAAAAAATTAGTGATATTTTAGTAATCTATTCATATGTTTCAAGCAGAAAGATAATGGTATTTTGGATACTTAATAGATGCCATAGAAAGAGAGCTAGGTCTAGAA